AAGAAAGGATGAAGTCAAAGTGTCATTATTTTCAGATGACATGATCATTTACTTAGAATATCCAAAAAACTCCACCAAAACACTCCCAGAAAAAGCAAATTCAGCAATGTAGCAAGATACAAAGCAAACACACAAAATCCACAGCATTCCTCTACAGTAAGTCCCTGACATATGAATGAGTTCTGTTCTGGGAGAATGTTCATAAATCAGATTCATTTATTAAGTCTGACAAAGTGAGTTCTATATACCTTTGACACAAATATACTATGTAAAGCATAAAAAAATCAAACATACACACAAATACTATAAAGAAAACTATTTTTACTTTATAGCTACCTTAAAATGGTAATATAGTACAGTACAACTGTAAATAAACTATTTTTACTTTTACAGTTACAGTACTGTACACTATTGCACACAGCAGCAGAGCTGTGACAATGTGTGGCAGACTATGAGCTCCTTCCATGATTTGTTTGAATCTACAAATGTTCATAATGTGAGGTCTGTTCATACCTGTGAAAGTTCACAACCACAGGTTCCTAAGTTGGGGGCTTACTACCTACTAATAATGAACTCATTGAGAAAGAAATTAGGAAAGCAATACCATTCACAATAGTACCAAGAAAAATTAAATATGTATGAATTAACCTAACCAAGGAAATGCAAGACTTCTATAATGAAAATTACATCACAACAGGGGAACTGAGGACACCAGAAAATGGAAAGATATCCCCTGTTCCTGGATAGACAGAACCAATATAATCAAAATGGCTATTCTTCTAAAACTGTTATACAGATTTAATGTAATAACAAACAAAATACCAATGTCATTTCTCATAGAGCTAGGGCAAACAATACTGAAATTTATATGGAGTCAGAAGAGACCCAGACTAGCAAAAGCAATCCTAGGTAACAAAAGCAAAGCAGGAGAAATCACAATTTCAGACTTGAAATTATACTACAAAGCTACTGCAATTAAAATAGCACGGTACTGGCACAAAAACAGGCATGTGGGTCAAAGGAATAGAACTGAGGAAGCAGAAACAACCCCTGATACATTCAGCTATTTGATCTTTGACAAAAGGGCCAAAAACACACACTGGAGGAAAGTCTTTTTAATAAATGATGCTGGGAAAACTGGATATTCCACATGCAGAAGATTGAGTCTACATGTACATTCTTACCTTGTACTAAACTAAAATCAAAATGGATCAAACATCTAAATGTTAAAACAGAAACACTCCTCTTGAAGATAAACTAGGTACAGCTCTTTAAGACACAGGTGTGGCAAGGACTTTCTGAACAGAACTCCGGTGGCACAAGAAATAATACAAGAATCAGTTAAAATCTGCACAGCAAGGAAACAACCTACAGAATAGGAAGTATTTTTGCTTCAGACAGATGACTAACATCTAGAATATGGAAGAACTTGAAAAATTACACTCCCTAAATAAAAGACCTAATCAAAAAATGGCAACCAAAATGAATAAATACTTCTCAGAAGTAAAATGGCCAATAAATATGTGAAAAAATATTAAATAGTTCTGGCCACTAGAGAAATGCAAATTAAAATATCTTCCTCCAGAAAGAATGGGTATCAGGAAATCAAGTAATAACAAATGCTGGCAAGGATGTGGAAAAAGGAACTCTTCTGCATTGTGCATGGGAATGTAAAGTAGTACAACCACTATAGAAATCAGTGTGGAGAGATTCCTTGAAAAATTAAAAATAGAAATTCCCCTAGAAGCTATTCCCCCTCTAAGTGTCTTCTCAAAAGAGTTAAAGTCATCATTTTACAGGGACACGTGCATACCTATGTGTGGTAGATTAACTCACGGTCCCCTTGAGTGGGAACGCCCAGCTGAACTGAGTCAGCATGGTTCTAGGTGTGGAAGATCCACCTGAGGTGTGTTGCTGGAAGGCATAAAAGGAGAACGAGCAGGGAAGATGGCATGCTGTTAATTTTCCTGGAGAAGCTTGCTGCAGCAGGTTTTCCTGATATGAATTCAGCTGTTCTCCTTGGAGGAATCGGGTCCTTGCTGTCACTGGGTATGGCTGCTATTCTCTTTCAGAGAGCTCTGGTCTTTTTTTTTTTTTTTTTTTTTTTGGTTTTTCTCCGGTACCGGGAACCGAAGTCACGACCTTGCGCTTGCCAGGCAGGCGCTTTTGCCACTGAGCTAAATCCCCAGCCCCAAGCTCTGGTCTTCACCTTTGTCTTAAGTATTGCTTCCTGGCTCCAGTGCAGATCTCTTAGTCTGCTGGCACAGATCCTCCATTCTGCTGGCACAGACTTTCTAGCTTCCATGACTGGCCTTCCCAGCACAGATCCTTGATATAGACTTGCATGAGACACTGTCGTGGACTCTAGGCCTTCGCCTGGACTTGTGTGGGATACTGCCATGGGATCCAGGGCCTCAGCTGGATTCTTCAAGTCTCTAGTGCATGGAAAGATCTCCCACACACTTCTGCATTTTACATTTTGGGTGAATATTATAAAATAGTCATATAAAGTATGTGTCTTGTATTAAATTTATTCCCTTTCAAGCCCTGACCACAACACTGTTTATAGCAGCATAATTTACAAAAGCTAAATCATGGCCTATATGTCCACCAACAGATGAATGGATAAAGAAAATGTGGTATTACACAATGGAGTGCTACTCTGCCATAAAGAAAGATAAACTTGAGGTATATGTAGGTAAATGGATGCAACTTGAGACCATAATATTAAATAAGTCAGACACACAAATATTGTTTGGTTTCTCTTATATGAGAAATTTACTATACATATATATTACATACATATATGTAATGTATAATAATTATATAATTATATATATGGCAAATAAAGGTAGTTAAACAGGAAGTAGGGACAAATGGATGGAGAACAAGAGATGGATGGAGGGGGATGTGAGGGGTGGGAAAGGAGATGAAAAAAACCCAAATAACTGAAGGAACAAAAATGATGAAAATAGAACTTTTACACATGGGAAGGGGACCTCTAGGTTGGAGGGAGCAGGGAGGGACAGGAGGGGTATCAGATTAAAGAAGAGAAGCATTAAAATATGTACATTTACTGACTCCCCACAATAAATATAATCATTATGTATTGCAAACATGCACTAATCAAAAAGGAAATTTATAAAATGGGCAAAAGACCTAGACATTTCACCAAACAAGATGCACAGGGGGCGTGCAGTTGAAAACATGCTCGACATCAAGAGTCAGCAGGGAAATGCCATGGATACCATTACATGCTCATCAGCATGGCAAAAACTGAATAACACTGAGGCTGGGGATATAGCTCAGTGGAAGAGCACTTGCCTAGCAGATATGAGGCCCCAGAACCACACACACACAAAAGTTAAAATATACTTGCATAAATTTTACTAGCTATTCTACTCCTAAGTATTTACTGCAAGGTCAAAGGAAATATATGTTCATATGAAGACTTGTACACAAACGTTTATAGCAACTTATTTACAACAGCCAAAAATTTGAAGCAACCTGAATGTTCATCAAAAGGTGAATGGATAAGGGGCTGGGGATTTAGCTCAGCGGCAAAAGTGCCTGCCTGGCATGCGCAAGGTCTTGAGTTCGGTTCCCGGTACCGGAGAAAAACCAAAAAAAAAAAAAAAAAAAAAAAAAAGGTGAATGGATAAACAAATTGTGTTCTATCTATGCAATGAAACCCTACTGCACAATAGAGGGATGAACCATTACAGGACGAATGAACATGATGAATCTGAAGTTCACTGCACAGAGTGAAAGAAGACAGAGAGCACACACTAAGATTCTTCACAGCTCTAACACTGAAGCAGGATGCTGGCGCACACCTGTAACCCCATCACAAGGTAAGGTCAGCCTGGACTACATCATGAGATCTTGTCTCAAAACACCCCTAAAAAAAAACCAAGAAAAACACCCCTAAAAGTAAAGCAAGACAAAGCAAAACACCCTAAGCCTAAAAACTACAGCAAGAAAGCAATAAAGTGGAGCATAAGGAAGAAGGGGATGGGAATGGAAGGAGAGATTACAAATGGATAGGAAGAAACTTTTGGGGGTGATGGGTACGTCCATTATTTTATTTATGATGGTTTCATAGGTATAAACCTGTGTCAAAACTTATCAAACTACCAGGTACAGTAATGCACATCTGTAATCCAAGCTACTCGGGAGGCTGAGGCAGGAGGATCTCGAAGTTCAAGGCTAGCCTAGGAAACTTAAAACAGTGTCACAGTCATATAGTTAATCTCTTCCTCCTTTCCCTTCCTTCCTTCCTTCCTTCCTTCCTTCCTTCCTTCCTTCCTTCTTTTCTTCCTTCCTTCCCTGCCTCCCTCCCTCCCTCCCTTCCTTCCTTTTTGGTGATACTAGGGATTGAACTCAGGACATCTGCATTGCACTACATCCCGAGCCCTTTTTAAAAATTTTGAGACAAGGTCTTGTTAGGTCTCTAAATTGCCCAGTTTTCAACCCTGTGCTTCAGCCTCTTCGAGTGCTGGGATTACAGGCCTGTGCTCCAACTTTGGCTCTTCTTATTTTGCACTGCTGGGCCCTGAAACCCAGGGTCATGTGTATGTTAGGAAAATTCTCTACCACTGAGCTATACCCCCAGCCTTTGTAGCTAATTCCTACTTTTACTTTATTGTATTTTTTAATTTAACTGTCTTTTATTAAATGAAACTCCAGTTAGGTGTGGTGGTGCAAACTCCAGCTAATAGGAAGGCTGAGGCAAGAGGATTGCAAGTTTGAGACCAGCCTGGCCAATTTATCAAGACCCCATCTCAAAATAAAAAGGGCTGAAGATGTAAGCTGATGCTAGATCATCTTATGGGTCCAAACCCCAGCACTGCCAAAACAAAACAAAACAAAACAAACAAAAAGGAATTTGACAGCACAGTGAGCTAGTTGTGTTCTAAATCTGCTCTCTTTCGCAGAAAGAGAGTAAAAGCAATACAATGTCAGAGCAGGCTGTCCTCACACTTAGAGCTTTATCTTACCCATCAATTTGTTGACATTTTGTTTCTGCAGGTGGCCGATGAAGTGCCATTTGATCTCAGGACATGAAGACAGAATCTGAAGGGAAAGAGGAAATTACATTTCACTCAGCTGAAGGTCTGGCTCAAATGCTTCGTCCGAGCCCAGTGACCTTGCACCTCTCTGCTGTTCCTTACGTGCATAAACCTCTGCCACCATCTTCAGCCAGCATCCCAGGGAGGCAGAGGGACATACAGAAAAACCTCAGGCTTCTGCTCTATTCCCTTTCTCATCCCCATCCACTCCCCATTTTTCAGTTATCATCCATGATAACTTGAATCAGGATGAACTGATTCAAGCTTTCAGATCCCAGAAGGATATAAGATTATAGCAAGCTCCTAAAAGAATCACTTCTAAACAGCTACAAAAAAGAAAATTACACTGGAAATACAGAGAGAAAATTTAGGTGAGAATTGTTTGGGGCTCAAGGTGAAAGTGGACACTGTTACCCCCATCCCAACTTCCTGTTTTAAACCTCAACCACCAACAGGGGTCTAATTCTCAACTAAAGAGCCAAGATTAAGGTAAAAACTAACGAATCCCAATATCCACTTACTTTAGGATTTGATGCTTTTTCCAGTAGTTCCTGAACCTAAAAGGTAAAACCAGAACAAGTCAGAAGCCTGGCAATCACGATTCTTCACAAGGGGCTTTGGAAAAGGGCTCTTACGTAGTTTTCTCCGAAAGTACGCTGGCCGTGATTGTAGGCCTCGATCACCATCTCAGCAGGTTTGGTTTTGCTGACTGCTACAAGCCGGGGCTGGATTGCTGGGAGATCCTGCCAAGAGGGAAAGAGCCACAGGAGTAAGCATTTGGGAGAAATGATCCCAATAAGTCTCGTAGGATTTCTCCTGTAGAACAGATTGGCATCAATCTCAATCTGGCATTGTTAAGATACAATCTTCCAATACTATGGGCAGGGGGACTGGGGACTTAGCTCAGCAGCACAGCGCCTGCCTGGCAAGCATGAGGTTGTGAGTTTGATTCCCGGTACCAGAAAAAAAAAAAAAAACCAAAAAACCAAAAAAAACCAATACTACAGGGGGGTTAATTTGGTGACCAAAGAGTACAATATATGTATGATATCTCGACCTAATGGTAACTACCCTGATAGCTAGTGGACGACATTTCAGTCTCAGAGCAGCAGGGCAAGTTAAAGCAGTACTTCCCTAGGGTGTAGTCTTAGAACAACTACATCAGTTACCACCAGGGTGCAATCAGATGAACTCACTCTGAATCTCTGGGCCTGGGGTCTCAGAATCTTTTTGTTTTTGAGGAACTACACCCCCAGCCCTGAGAAACTTTTTTTTCAGACAGGGTTTCACTATGTAGTCTAGGCTGGCCTTGAACTTACCATGTAGCCCAGGTTAGTCTCAAACTTGAAATAATCCTTCCTCAACCTTCTGAGTGCTGTGATTATTGGCATGCACCACCATGCCTGGCTGAAAAGCTTTTTTTTAAAAATAGCTCTCCAGATGATTCTCGTGCATACCAATGCTAGAAGTTTAAAAATCACTTCATTAGAGGGGGTGGAGCTCAGTATTAGAGCACTTGTTTGACGGGTGTGAGGTCATAAGCTTGTTCTGGGGTACAGTACAACAACACAAAACAAAGCAAAGTTATCACTTTACTAAGGCGAAAAAGCACTCTCTGATTAACAGGGAGCTTACTTCTGGCTTCTGAAATCCCAAGGTAAACGGTTTTGGAAACACATCGTGGCCCTGGTGTAATTACTCAGATTGCTTCCATTCGCTCTCCATCAGGCTAATGATGTGTAATTCACTGTTCCATCTGACTCAACCACCCAATAGCAGACCTGAGACTGGGACACAAACAATTCTGGACTCAGGATTAGACCTCGCTGAGTTCGTCCCACAGCCATCACATTTAGAGTAGGGTTTCCCTGCGTTCTGCTGCAGCCAGCCCCACACACAGGCCATCAGAGACAGGACTCCTTTATCCTCCTATAGTTCAGTCTTCACATCCCCCACTGCCTGCTGGAATTGTCAAAGAATCACATTATTCTCAAGGACCTGAAGGAGTCAGGTCAATTAGCAAAGAGCCCTCTTCTGTCCGAGGGGCCTGCATTACCAGCCTTTTATGCGACCATGTCATAATTCCTAGGATGTTGATGAACTGGTGGTTTCCAGAGAGAAAAGTGGAAGGGGTAGCTTATGTGGCTGAGACCGTCCAGGGAAAACCTCCCAGAATGAGAGAATCTCTAGATTTTCCTTAGCCACTGAGAATCATAGAACATTAATGCCAGAAGGAGATTAGTTTTTGGAGTCATCCCACTGTCTATACAGATGAAGAAACTGAGGACCGAAGTTAAGTGATTTGTTCAAGGTAACACCTAATTAGTAGTTTAGGGAAGACTGTAACACAGGTCCTCTATCTCCAGGCCAACATTCTGGGTTCTGAGAACGTAACAGCTTGATCAGACAGGCCTTTGCCCTTTCAGTTCGGGCCTTTGTCATCTTAACTAGCACGAAGCTTGGCAGGTATTAACTCTGATCCAATGAAAGTCCAAAAGAAGACATAATATATGCAGTAGAAGAAGAACATCCAAAGAGTGGCTGCAAAGTCCAGGTGACCCACCCCCGCCTCAGCCGAGGGTGGAAGCGACATTTGCTGAGCACCTACGAGCTGTCAGACGCTGCCACACGCGCGATCTCGGGGGCTCGGTCCTCTGCGTGCTCTGCCGTCAGACGTTGCCCCTGACCCCCAAGGCTCTGCCCCTAGCGAAGGGAAAAGACCACGTCGCCCGGAGAGGGGTCATCTTCCCGAGGTGGCGGTGCCTTCTGCACCAAAGCCAGCCTCCGGAGGACCCGACATACTCCTCGCGAGGTCCCTGAGAAAGTCCCTCCCCAGCCACTCGCAGCCTCGGCCACCCCGCTGACACCACGCCCGCGGCCCCGCCCCTCCGAGGGACTCCACTGCGTCACCGTGACGACCTAGTCCTCCCACACTGGAGTCCCCCTCCTCAAGCGGCCGCCCATCGTCCCCATGCGATCCCCGTCCTCACCCCTGGCCGCCGCGCCACAGCCTGCTGCACGCGCTCGTTCACTGCCCGTAGTGCGAACCCGATGCCGAGCTCCGCCGACATGCTGCTAGCTCTCCACATCCCCCGGGGATGACTGGGAGCCCCGGACCCTTTGCACCTGGGGGCTGAGCTGAGGCCAACTTCCGGTCCGCCCTGTTCCTGCGTGGGGTCCAATCACCACCAATCCCTGGGTTGTCTTACCCAATCGGCATCCGCAGGGGCGGGCGCGACGTCGACGGCCCGTCTCCCGGTGGTGGCCATCTTGGGAAGGTCGCTGCGAAAGGGTGCGGAGGTGTTTGGGCAGCGGCTCTGGGTTCTACCTGACTGCAGCCGTCTCTTTCCTGGCCTCGTGCCGGTGCCGCCCCCTATCCTCACGGGGCTTTCCTGGAGCAAAACCGCAGTCTGTTCTCACGCTCTTACTCACTTTCAGAATCCACTACACCTGAGATGTATTATGTATACGCACCAACTCCCCATGATGTTATGTACTGCAAACAGGTACAAATAAAGATTTAAAAATTACTAAAACATTGCCGTATAGAGTTTGCCTGTCCCTAGCTTTAAACGGAGCTGTAAACTACTGTACATTTTTTTGGGTGCAGGGATCAGGATTAGATCCTGCTAGAGAGGAGGCAAAGATTTTTTAGCATATTGCATGGTTCACGTGAAGAACTGTTTTTAAAATATGTAACAACCCTTTTTAAAAACAGGGCATGACTCAAATGTATGGTTATTTTTATTTTTTTCATCCTTTAGACCAGGGCTGTCCTATAGAAGCAGTGCAATCCACATATATAATTTAAAAATTGTTCATATCTTTATAAAGTGAATATATTTACTTAACCCAGTGTATCCAAGATAAGATTTCCATATCAAGCAATGGCAAAACTAAAACGGATCGTCCTCCCCTCCCCCCACTCCATCCCCGTACTGAGAGTTGAATCCGGGCCTTTGTGCTGAGCCACATTCCTGCCCTTTTGACTTTTTAATTTTGAGACAGGGTCTCTCTAAACTGCTAAATTGCCCAGACTGGGCTCAAACTTGTGATTCTCCTGGCTTAGCGTCTTGAGTAGCTAGATCAGAGGCAAGCACCATCACATTTGACTTTCTTTCTTCTCTTTTAAATCTTATATTCTTCTTAAAAAATCTGTATACATTCTGGTTGGTCCTACGTTCGGATTGATGGCAGGGTGGCCAAAAAATGTCTCTTTTGAGTCAGTTGAAATTTTTAAAGGCAAACTGTATTTAAAAAAAATATTTAGGACACATTTTGTTATTTATTTATTTATTTATTATTTATTTTTTTCCGGTACCGGGAATCGAACTCATGACCTCACGCTTGCCAGGCAGGAGCTGCGCCGCTGAGCTAAAGCCCCAGCCCCGAGGACACATTTTGGATCTTAAATCCGGTGGCTTTTTGTTTTGCTTTTGCTTGTTTTGAGGCAGGCTTTCCCTGTGTAGCACAGGCTGGCCTCCAACTCAGGATCCTCCTGCCTCTGCCCAGGTGCTTGGGACTCAGGTGTGCACCACCATACCTGGTGAGGGATTAATGTTAAGGAAAGTACTTTTGGCGGCAACTACTGTGGGAGAAAACATTAATTCATCTTAATGAAGTGGGGTGCTGTTATGCTGGAGAAAGGGCTGAAGTTTGTTCTCTGGGTTTTTTCTTGAGTGGCTTACTAAAAAAGCCTTGCAGAAAGAAGGGGCATGTTCTCTTTTTCTCAGCCCTGTTCCCACATTCCAGGAAAGGAGATGGAATTTTACATGTTCTGTCTGGGAAAATAGGTCTGAGTAGAATTTGAGCCCCTGCAATGAGGCTTCTTTGGGTGGAATTTCACGGTCACTTACCATGGTATATATGAAGAGATTATCTGTGAACTAGGATTGCCAAATGAATGAAGAGAAATTGTATTCAAATCAAATCTCATAGATATATTTCTGTTCCAACCAAAGTGATACAAATCCTTAAAAATGACAATAGCCCCTTGTGAAATGAACTTAATACGTTTGTTGTAGAGAAAGCTGGAAAGAACCCACCAGCAGGAAGTGGTGTGAGCAGCGTGTGGGTCGTGGCGCAGGGAGGCGTAGAGGGGGGTAGGGTGAGCTGGAAGTATCTGAACAGATATACTACTTGGAAAATATTTTTAAAACCACAAATACCTCACAGGCTTGGGGATGTGTAACCCAGGTGACATGTCACCAGGATGACAGGTAGTTGTATCTGCATTTAATAGCTCTGGTCTCTCTTTTGTATGAATTACAAGACACTTCCCCACCTTTCATCAACAAAGTGAGTATACACAGAGGCATTAGTCTGTGGAAGGAACCCTGGGGGAGTCGAGGATGAGCATGCAAGGCTTTATTGTGGATTTATTTCTAGGATGCTTTTCATCTCTAATAGTCTTATAAACACAGCAGTGATCCTCCTCTCATTATTACTTCACCTTTCAGTTTCTTTGCTTTCTTTTTTTTGAGACAGGATCTTGCTATGTAGTCTAGGCTGGATTGAACTTGTTATGGAGCCCAGGGTGGCCTCCAACTCAACATCTTCCTGCCTCTGCCTCCTTAGTGTTGGGACTACAGGACTGCCTAGCTTAGCTGTATTTTTGAATTAGCTTTATTCCACTTTTTTTTTCTAAAGATTTCTTTTTTGGGGTTGCTAGGGATTGAACCCATAATCTGTACAACACATGCCCCACCACTGAGCTACAACCCCCAGTCCCTCTCCTTATTTTTTTAGTTTCTTATTTAATTGGATGCATAGTAACCATCCAATATAACCTTTCACCCTTCTCTCCTACTTAATCTTTGAAAAATACCAAGTCCAAAATCACTTCATTGCCAATAACTATCTTTAATAAATCTCTCCAATAATTTGAAGGCAAAGGAGAAAAAGATTAAAAGGTCAAATACCCAGAAGAACAGATTTTATAAGCAACGTAAAAGTAGTCTATTTATTCAGTATAAATGCTATCAAGTTTTTAAAACATTCACTTCTGTAGTTTGTGGCCTTACTTATGAAAAAAAAAATATGTAAACTTTCAAATTGTTTCCTTCTGACCCCACTGTGATTCTTTTGAGGGGATTAAAAAGAGATAAAATAATTGGAAATTACTGTTGCCTGATTACTTGGCTTTGAAGAGAAATGGAGAAATCATACCACATTCAGCTCAAATGATCACCCATGACAGCATTCCCTCCCTCCACAAAAGGCTGTCACAGGGTGCCTTTGGAATGCCACTGGAGATTCTTGAACCCTCAGCCTGATGAGGACCTTCAGAGATCACCTCATCTTTCAGGATGAGTGACACTGGAACTATCCCATACGGCCTTTGAAGACTAAGAAAATGCTACCTACCAACCCCTGGATTATTTTCTATTTGCAGAAAACTATTTCCAAACTGGCCAGAATTATGTAAATTCTTTTAAAATACTGCATTCTTCAGGCTAATTTATTCTTCTTTTAGGCTCCCAGAACTATACAATAGCAAGGTGGTCATTATGCAGTTTAGTGTGTGTGTGTGTGTGTGTGTGTGTGTGTGTGTGTGTGTGTGTGTGTGTGCGCGCGCGCGCGCGCGCGCGCGCCTCCTGCCTCAGGCTCTCAGAGTGCTGGGATTATAGGCATATCCCACCACATCCGACTAGGAGTTTTATTTGTAATCATTCTTTTTTTTTTCTTTTTGGTTTTAACGTTTTCTTTTCTTTCTAGCCTGAAAACGTTTGGGATCCAACCCAGGGGCTCTGTACATACCAGGCGAGTGCTCTACCTCTAAGCTGGACCCCAGCCCAGTTTGGTTTGCTGGGAGCCCAGACCCAGACGATTGCTCTCTGCGGGGCCAAACCCTTCTCCACAGCCTGCGTTTCCGCAGGGGTATGTATTCTCATAGGGCATGGACCCTGCTTCCTTCCTTCTCCATGTACCATCCTATTTATACTTTCAGTCTTGTTTTTCTACATTTTTCACTTGGTGGTACGGAGGCTGGGGATTTAGCTCAGTGGCAAAAGCGCCTGCCTGGCAAGCGCAAGGGCGTGAGTTCGGTTTCCGGTACCGGAAAAAAACCAAAAAAAAAAACCCAACACTTGGTGGTACCCATTTTATAGTTGTGTGCTTTCTAGCCTGTTTTTCCAGATGACTGAAAATACACATATGAAGCACAGCAGTAAAGCCCTTCATATGCATTATTTCAGAGTCCACTCGACCCTTTTTTTGAGGGGGTACTTGAGATTGAACCCAGGGGCATTCCTCTAGAGCTACATGCCTAGCCCTTTCTATTTTGAGATAGGTCTTGCTAAATTGGCAGACCTTGAATCTGTGATTCTCCTGTCTCATGTAAATAGCTCGGATTATAGGCATGCACTCAGCTATTTAGTCCATTTTATAGGTGAAGAAGTGGGAGGGCGGGGACATGAACCTTAGCAGTCCACTTCCAATTTTTATATATATTTTTGAGACAGAGGTTTGCTATGTAGTTCAGACTGGCCGTGAACTATGTAGCCTAAACTGCGCTCAAACTTGCAGCAATCCTCCTGCCTCAGCCTCCCGAGTGCTAGGATTATAGGCATGCAACACTATACCTGGTTCCAATTACTATATTCTTAATTTACTCATTCAATTTTAAGTCATGTTATGACTTAAATATACAATTATGTCATGTATCAATCGGGCTCTCAGACCAATAGAAAAATATTAGAAGGCATCATTAAAAAGACCCAAGCATAGTAAGGCATGGTGGTGCATACTTGTAATTCCAGCTAATTGGGAGGTTGAAGGACAATTCCAGGTTTGAGGACAGTCTGGGCAACTCAGTGAGACCCCATCACAAAATAAAAGACAAAAAGAGCTGGGGATATAGCTCAGTAGGAGAGTGTCCCTGAATTTAATCCCCCAGTACCAAAAGAAAAACAAAAGTACTTAAAAAAAAATCAAAACAAGAATGCCTGAATTAGGGTTCCTAGATTTAACAAACACAGGTTACCCACATAAATATGAATTTCAGATAAAAAGTCCACCAAAAAAATATATCAGGAAAAAAACTTATATAAGTATTTTAATACTAAATTTATTGAGACATGAGATTAATACGTTACCTTTGGCCACTACAATTACAAGAGATGCTCAAAGTGGTGGCCATGAGCTTCTAGGCATTTATTAGCACCATGAACTGCTGGAGTGGGTATGCATTTTTTGGGTGTCCTCTGTATATATGTGTTTTAGAATGTCTAATGCAGTGCTGGGGATCTATTTGTACACAAATTACTATGTATCTGAAACACTTAACACACCTTCATCACACTTCATCTGGTAATACCTGACTCAGCAGCTTGCAGGAACAGACTGGGACCGACCTATTCAACTGATCTAAATGTTTTGAGTCAACTGAAAATAATTCTGCCCTTTGGAGCGGAACTATAGCTACGTATTCTTGTTTTTTGAGACAGGTCTTGCTACGTAGTTCAGGCTGGCCTTGAATTTGTGGTGATCCTCCTGCTTCAGCCTCCCAAGTGCTGGGATTATAGGTGTGTCACCATGCCCCGCAGCCATATATTCTTTACAATGATAAATCCCTACAGCATCCAGTAGGAATTATGTCATGTTCAAAAATTGAGGGTTTTATTTTGGTGGTGTTGACATAGGAAAGGATTTTTACCTCAATATATTTTTAAGGAGAACTTGACTCAATGACCGGGATGTCTGATTTTTTTATATCACCTATCTTAACAGTAGCTATTGCTAAATTTTACTTTTAACAAAAATGTGAACACAGACTCATTTTATTTAACAAGACTGAAAATAAAACTAAGACATAAATTCACATGAGACCTTTCCGTGTTGTCCAAAACAATTCTTCCAGCTACTGACCCAAGGCAATTAATCCAGCGGTATCATTTATAGAATGATTAATATAACAGAATCATTTCTCAATTACAAAGAGGGTCATTAAGCCCTTGGGGCTCTTTGACTTTTCAATTACCAGCCTACACAAAAGCAGAGATAAAAAGGAATGGAAATACAAATATACAATGATTGGCTATTGCCTCTTTTACAAGGAAATAACAAAAACATTGTCTACAACCCTATTGAATAGAACCAAGAAGCAGTGGTTAGGTTTATAGACACAGATAAGATAAATTTATCTTTAATCAAACAAATAGTCAAAGTCAGTAAGTATGACCATCTTACTTTCACTGCTTACTCTCTTTAGCTGGTGAAGTTTCAATGCTGAAAGGTACACAGGCCCAGAGAAACAGCCAGATTTATAAAACATCTCCCTATTTTGATCAATACATTGCTAACCTTTGTTAGTGACTCCCTCTTCACTATGCTCACAGGTCCCTCCAATCCATTTTATTTTAGTTATATAAAAATTATTAACAAACTTTGGCTTCCTTACAAACATTCTGTCCTTATATTTAAAAAAGTGATTAAAAACAGTACTGAATAGCAACCACTTTTGCAAAGTTTGAATGAGAAACATTCCGCCAAGGTGACTGACTGTTCCTTGGAAAATCCTACAAAAACTAAATTTTATAAACAGTTACTTATTTTGATAAAAGCTCCACTTATAAATAGCAGCCAGTACTTCACTGCCTACAAAACTGCAGGCTATCACATTTTATACGTTCAGAATTCAAATGTTTTAAGATCAGATTTTCTAATAAGCATTAAAAAGACAAAGTCACACAGATCTGTTAGTCATCCCTTGACAAGGAGACAACTGACTTCCATGATTTTACTCCTCAGAGAGGTCCCACAACTACTGGACTAATGCTACCAGGCATGACCACGTTTCTATTTTTTTGCTTAATGCAGTGACATTAACATGGGGGGGGGTGTCACAGCAGGACTTTACTGAGGCTCATTTGTGGCCAAAGGACAAGTGATTTAGGATGTCGGTACCAGAGAGACTTTCAAGTTAAGAAGCTGATGAAAGCACTCTTCGGAGCTGAGGTAACCTTGGCTGAGTCTACTGTGGTGAAGTGGTGTTTGCTGATGCCCAGCCGGCAAGAACTCCACAGCAGCACAGATACCATGCGGACAGGGGGTGCTGGGGTGCCACGCTGTCCTAACAATGATGGGCTTGCTGAAGAGGGAGAAGACGAGGATCTTGCGCTGGCCTTGGAGGCAGACTGTTACTTGGGAATGTTTTGGGGCCTGCACAAAGCATGGTGGTGCCCAGTGGTTTGAGAATTCCCAGTGCCAGGAATTAGCATGGGGAAGGGCAGCATCTGAAGGAAGGGGAGTTAACACCTTGTCTCTTTCTAGGCAAGCTGAATGCTGCCCACATTCCTGCCATGCCTGGTGCCACTTAGCATCAAGCTGGCCTGAGGACTACGCCATTTGATAAACCAGAAGCCTCGGCACAGAGCCGAAATTTCTGGGGTGGGAATTGCGGCCAGAAAGTATTGTTCACAGTGTTCACCTAGAGAAGAGAGGTACAGTAGGTAGTGTTTGTTTTTGTTTTGGTAGGAGCAGCTAATAACAAGGGCAAACCCTAAACCTGAGCTGGGCATGGTTATGATGCAGGGTAAAAATATGCTTGTAAATTAACTCCAGATGGTTGTTTTCTATTTAACAATCCTGTGCACCTTTCATGGGCTGCACAGGTTGCACTCCCTCCCCACAATTCCAATGGCAAGATATTAATCTTTCTTTTTTTTTTTTTTTGTCTTTTTGAGACAGGGTCTCATTAAGCAGTTTATTGGCCTTGAGCTCACTTTGTAGCCCAGGTTGGCCTTGAACTTGCAACCATCATCCTGCCTCAGCCTCCCAAGTGCTGAGATTACAGGTGTGTGCCACCATGCCCAGCTCAATATAAATCTTCATGTTTGTTCTCCTCATCCTAAATCAAAATAAAACACTTTGAATGCATTTTGACGCTTTCATCGCCAGCCTGAGGACATAGGCATGAACTCTGACTCGCATCTACACAGCTGTCTCAGGAGATTTACCATCAGTCCGACCTGAGTGGCTGTGTGGAGCTCTGGATTGAAAATCACAAGCTACTTAGGATGGGCTCCCTTTAGCACTGTGTCAGACTCCCGACACAAGCCAAGGCATCACACTAGGAAATCTCCTGACTCTTCTTCCTCCATGCGTGGTGGCAGAGCTCCTCCCTGCAGCACAGCAGGAAGGACAGTGTACTCGGGTACACACACAGCTTGCCAAGCACATATGACAGTGCCTACTGGGTATAACGATCCCATGTCAGCAGCTAGGAAGACGCTTGGGTTATTTGTTCCTGTCTTCTTGATGCTGAGTAGAACCACAGACAGATTACTTGAGAAGAGACCAAATCACAGATTAGATGAAAAGTTCAAAAAGACTTGAGTAGTGGAGAGAATGAAGCCCTGACTCTGGAAATATAGTCAGACCACTACCCTGAGCCCCAGGGAAAGGAACATAGTGTATAGAAAATCTTGCAAAACCTAGCACCAGTTCTTCCTTAGGAGGGCTCCAAACCAACCAACCAACCAACCAACCAACCAACCAACCAACCAACCAACCTTGTCTCTGAAAAGACTCATCCATACACTGACAAAACTGCCAGGGACGTCATATGCTCCCTGTGGCTGTGTCTTCTCAGCTGTGAGCCCCAGAGGTGAGGTTTGAGAAGGGAATCAAATCACCTGGAGGAAGCATCCTATGTCTCCCCCACTGCTGCTTAGTGACAGCATTCCAGATGCACCACCTTCACAGCCAGAGTTGGTGCCGGGAGGTCTGAGGTCAAAGCCATGGTATACAAATCTTTGTAGAAGTCACATAACCTACTTACTTACCTGAATAAAATCCCCAAATCATCAATCCCTACCCTCCCTTCCTAGGAAGGGGAACAGATTTAAGTCCATTTCCTTTTCACAACAACTTGAGGAGTCCAAGAAGGTAGTAAGGGAGGAAGTAGCATTCTGTTTCATCTTAAAAAATAAAGATCTCTTTAAGCGTCATCTGAGGTTGTATACTTTCTGTGTTTCAGTTCTCCTTCCCAGTGGCCTCCACGGGCTCCTCCTCCAAGTCAAAGCTCAGCTTGTCGGCCAGCCCCTCAAACTGCCTGCCTAGGCCGCCCGCAGAGTCCATGAACATGTTGGGTATGTCTTTGCCAAAGTAAATCTTGCTGTTGGAAGCAATGGCCTTGTATTTCATCAGCTGTAGATATTCTGGGGTCAGCTTCAGCTGTGACAAACAGGAAAGAAGACTTAGGTGAGATGAATGTTGGAGAAAACTGGGGTGGTACCCCTTCAATTCCCCTATGGGGAACCCACTCTTTCAGGCCTCCCCGTAACACAAATAACAGGGAACCATTTCTCTCAGAGAAAGTAGTCTAAGGCCTTCCAGACAGAGTGGTGAGAACTTTAGAAGTTTCCATGTTTAACAGAGAAGTGAAACTTCTATGGCGGCCTCCTGTCCCAGAGAAGCACCTGTCCTGCACAGTGCAGGGGTCCTCAAGTGCAGCCACGAGAGACTCAGTGTGGCGGTCATCCAACACTGGCAACTCAACGCACAACCCAACCCGAAGCCACGCTGCACCTTTACCTTATTTGCTTCAGCTATTTTCAGAGCAGTGTAGCACTCGGCATCGGCTTTTGCCTTCTCACGGGCCAGAAATGCAGCATCTGGGGGTAGGAGAGAGCGAGCAGGGGCCATCAGCAGACTATGCTGTGTGGGCTGCTGGTGTGGCTCAGCGGCAGAGCACCTGCCTCATGTGGATGAAGCCCTAAGTTCCATCCCTAGCAACAACCCCCCACCCACAACTAACCAACCCAAAAAAGACTATGTCCTGGTCCCTGTAACTTTTCTTCTGACAGTCTCTGTGACCCTGGGGAGACTGCTTTTTTCTCCTGTGCTCTGGTTTCCTCATTTGTGAGGAAAGCTGGGAAAAGGCACTTTTTTCCTATTATGCTAGTTTTAAGGATTAACCAAGAAAGAAAAACTGCTTTGAAAGCATCTCTCCAGGACAGGGATTTGTTGAGCAATACTGTTGCTATGGCTAAAATCACGTACATTGACAGCATTACCTACAAAAGGCTGCCACCCACAGACACCTCTTTCTTTGTGTGCTTCCTTCCTTTATAGCTCCACAACTGTAGAGCAACACAGTGGTAGCCCCTGCCTGAGGCTCTAGTTCCAGAGCTTTCTGTCTCAGCCCTTTCATGCTATACGCCTCAAGTAAGGGAAGCTCAAACAAGGCTCTGAATATGGCCAGAACCCCATAAATGAATACCACAAGTGTAAATAATACAGCCCCTCTCCAAGTCCATTTCCTTTTTATCTTCGCCAATCATCTTTAAAGGTGCATAAGCTGGCACAGTTCTGAGAGAATTACATCCTGTGGTCCAGACCAACAGCCCTTTGGATTCAAGCAATGTATTTCCCTCCTCGGCTTGGAGTCTGGCTTTCTGTTAAGCAGAGGCAGATGTGTAGTATCTATGCCTTGCCTTGGGGATGAGGCTGGCCTCCTGGGAGCAGTGCTGGCACAGAATGCCTGGGGAGGAAGGCAGTGTGCAGGAATCTCACTGTGTTTGGTACAGCCCTGCTGCCGTGCCATGACTCCGCTGCCACAGTACCCGATGATGTGGGCTTCTGAAACATGCTGCTTTGCTCAGAGCGCCCCATGGGGAGCTACTGCTCGGTAAAATCCTAACTGGCTCCTCAGTGGCCGCGCCAAGCCTGACCGGCCCCATAATGGGTACAAATGAACGTAACACAGAGGGCTGGAGCTGACCTGAGGGCCCATTTCTGTCCCGGAATTTGCTTGAGAGAAGCACCATGCGAAGTAAAAGGAGGGTAGTGGGGAGGAGGTAGAAACTCAAAGCCAGTACAGAAAACACTTCAGCTCCAGTATTCTTGGTGCTGAGTGAAGTGTCTGTTTGGAACAACTTATGGACCTTATGGACCCCGAGCACAGACTTGGAGATCACAAAATTTGCACCACTTGACTTCTGAGGGGAAGCGGGTGAGGGAAGTGAGCTGCCACTGTGGCCCAGACTGCAGGCCCTGCGAGGCTGTGGGCTCCAGGCCAGCGGGGACCATGGTGTCCCTTGCCAAGGCCTAGCAAAGTGACTGTGCAACAGTGCTCAACGGCTGCTGAGTGAAGGACCCGTCTGAAGACACCGATGCCGGCCTGGCCGAGGGTGTCTCCAAACGTAGGCTAAGCACAGAGCAAGACTCATGTCTCAGGGAGGTCTTGATACCTGAGAGCACAGACTAAGAGCCCAGGGAACGACCCTGTCACTTGCTTGCCCAAAAGCGGAACTGAGCAAAACTCAGGTATCAATGCCACTTCTGCTCACCTTCGATTTCTGAAATCCTTTTCTCCGTCTCCTTCTCCATGACCTTCTGCCCGTAGGTGATTTCTGCAACCTGAGCCACTTTCTCTGCCTCTGTGTAAATGAGGTTGAGGAAAGACTGACTGACCTCACTCTTCACCTGAGTGGCGGTTGCTCGGAGGGAGGGTTGCTGTTTTCAGGGGTGGCTGTGCCAGGCACGCATGGGTGGAGCACAGCAGCACTGTATCCCTAAGGTGGGCGCCAGGGGAAATCAGACCAAGCAGCAGAGCTATTCATCTGAGGAGCGTGAGGAAGACCCCTAACACCTAAATCATAAGGGTTCTTCTTTCAGAGAAATGTTCTGTTTGTTTGCTTTTTGAAGCAGGTTCTTGCTAGGTACTCCAGGCTGGCCTTGAAGTCACTGGGATCCTCCTGCCTTGGCCTCCCAAGTGCTGGGATTACAGGTGACAGCCACCCTACCTGGGTCCCAAAGGAGTGTTTTAAGGACTGCTTCTATCAGGCCCTTCATTTTAGGGAGCACTCAGCTTGGCTCGTGGTCCTACAGTGTAGTGACCGGGAACACAGTTTCTAGAGCCAGTGTCCCTGGCCCGGAGCCCCGGCCCTCACTTACTTCCACACGACCTGTTACTCAACTCTCTGTGCTTCAGCCTAACAGAATGAGGTCATGACAGTGTCTCCCTCACAGGGTGGCTGTGAAGACTGGGCTTCTTCCTGCATCAAGCGGCAGGCAAGTACACAGCTCACAGTAAATGTGTAGTATGCGTTGGCCATTAGCTTAGGATTAATAATTAATAGGAAACCTCCTTCCACCTAAGAGGTAGGTGGAAACTCTTCCGCCCCGAACCCCAGCCCTTGTGCCCTAAATGGGGTGCACAGAACCATAATCAGACCAATGAGGGCTTTCTTCCGCTCGGTCTCGGCCTCCTTCTCTACCACCTTCTGTTTCTGAGCTGCAATAAGAAGCTTCGTCTTCTCACTTTCCCTGAAGGGGAAGAAAGTAGGCAGCTGTGAGGCCACAAATGAAAGCTCCGGAGGAACTTCATTATCTGCTAGAGAACCAAACTCTTCCATGTGGAGAGGCATGCTGACTGCTCACTCTCCCCTGGAAGGCTGTTCACAGGCCCAGGCAAATGCTGATCTGCTGCACACAGCAACATGGCTCTTGCCAGAGTTTGGATCTGGACTGTGCCCTAAAACCTCTGTGTTGAAGGTTTGATTCCCAAAGCAGCAGTGTGCAGAGGTAGGGCCTTTGGGAGATGCTGGCTCATGATGGCGCCGATCTCATCAGCAGATCGGGTTCCTGGTGGCTCACTCTGCCCTGGGGAAAGGGCTGTGTTACAAACGAGAGCTCTCTCTGCATCTTGGCTGCCAGGAGTGGTGCAGCTTTGCCCTACCACCTGCGCCTGGCTGTGACGCTCTGCCTTCTCTTAGCCCCACAAGAGCCAGTGATTGCACTGAACTTGCTGAAAACCCTGAGCTGAAATGAAGCCTTTTGCTTTTAAGTATGCGGATGTCACAGTGGCAGAGAGCTAACACGGCTTTCCTTCACCTCCAGGTAACTGGTGGGAAACAGAATTTAACGTGATGGTCAGGTACAGCGGCATTCATGTCTAGAGCGCCAATGACTCAGAAGACTGAGGTGGGAGGATCATGTGAGCCTAGGATTTCCAGACCAAAACGGACAACACAAGAGCCGGTCTCAAAGCCAAGCCCACACCAAATCTTGAATGCATTTTTGTAAGCTACATTTGCCTGTGCACCATCTCTATCTCCACCTCTAGTGTGAGCCACTGAACTCAGTGCACAGCTGCCCCTGCCTCAGTCACAGTGACAGGGCCCTGCAGGACCCTGATTGCTGCTCAGTCTGACAGGGCACAGGCTCTAGCAGGTGCATGAGAAAGGGAGTGAGTGTGGAGCCTGGCGCGGCTGGGGACAGGGCATACTCACATGAGCTCGTAGTTTCTGCGGATTGCTTCAGGGATATTGGGCTTGGTCACCCGCACAGCCTGGAGAAGGACACAAATGGCAGCTGCTGGGAAAGTCAGGGAGCTGGGGACACACATTCTTACAGGCCCTAGACCCTCCTCTCCTATGCAGAAAGCACATCCCTGAGATAGAAGATGCAATGTCACTGAGGGTGGACTCTCCCACGGAGGCAAAGCTTACTTGGATGACAAGGCCAGGGGCCATGGAGGTCAGGTCCTGTTGCAAAGCCAGTTTGAGATTTTCATCAATCTGATCTGGAATCAAGAAAGACAAAAAAGAGCTGTTATACCCCTTGGAAGGTGGGAGGCATGGTACAAGTGGGAATACCAGCTCAAGAATGGACCTTACAGGCAAAAGGTCTTCCCAAAAGAGTGTACTTAACAAAGTCCAGAAATCTGAAGGTCTGCTGGACTGTTGGAGGTGCATACCTAAGCTGCCTGGACATATGTGACACGGAAAAGTAGTCTTTCTGTTGGCATGAGGTAAAAATTACCTTTGTTGTTAAAAATGTAAACCACGTGCTACAAAAGATTGAGCTTAAAAGAGAAAAAGAACAATTCTAGCACATTCCTTATGTCAGGCAGCAGATTTTCCCTAGAATAACTGCAGCAGGAGAAGGCAGGCCTACACGTTCAAGGAAGCAGGAAGAAGAATGGCTATGTTGGGTCCTCTGAAAATAGGTGAGCAATTAAATCTAGTAATTTTAGAACTTTCCAAAAGATAAGACACTGAGCAGCCCCAAAGAAGATCATGAAAATGAACTTCTAAATAGACTTATGGGACTTCTAAATAGAATCATTTCCTTCACCATCAGCTGCTGTCTGCTTTAAGCAGCCATTTCTTGGTCCGTTGTGCCCAACCAAGGCTCACAGATCTACTTCCTTTTACAAAACTAAGGTCCATGGGAGCCAACTAGCAGCCAAAACTGAACCTGTTCACTGGGGTATAGCTCAATGATAAAGCATTTACCTGGTGCTGTGGAAAGGGTCTAGATTCCATTCCCAGCATGCCGAATAAAGCTGTTTAATTGCCATACTTTGACTGCTAGGATTTTAAAACAATGCTTTCTTCAACTGTCATACCAGCAACAAGGCAGTGCAATGTTTCTACATGCTGGTAACTTCCACAAACCTCTTACACTGAGGAAAAAGTGTCATAAAGTCAGTTAGCACCTCCCACCTGATGTGGGCCTAACCATATGACAACTACAAATAAATACTATTCTTAATTTTTCCATAAAAATTCTATTTTAATTTCTTTTCCTTTTTTTTTGTGATGCTAGTGATTGAACCCAGTGCCCTGCATGTGGTCTACCACTGAGCTACACCTCTAGCTCCCAGCCGAACTTTATGCGACCTTATTAGCTGGCCCTGGTGGCACAGGCCTATAATCCTAGCACTCAGAAGCCACGGCAGGAGGACAGCAAGTTTGAGTCCTGTCTGGGCAACTTAGCAAGATCCTGCCTCAAAATAAAAAACAAAGGACTGGGGATGTAGCTGAGTGTAAAGGCCCTGGGTTCAATCCCCAGGAACCCAGAAAAAACTGGCCCGATGGCCTGTACTCTCCCTATTAATAACACAGTCATCTACCAGACTAAATTATATCTGGACATGGCAGAAATCCATGGCCTGCGTGAAGGATAGAAGAAATATTCGGTACAGTGTTTCATAATACTACTAACACTGTTTATACCTTAGGGTGATATTAATAAATACCAACAAAGCTGTATCACTAAGCAAACACGGAGGTTCTGCAGGTTATCTTCTGAGCAAGTATTAGAAAATGTTCTTATAAAATGGACAAAAAAGAGGCAGCAGAGGAAGAAGTGATGAAGGTCATGTAGTCACATCTAAGGTGGAGGCTGTAGCTGGGGATGTAGCTCAGCAACACAGCTCATATCCGGCAAGCCCTGAGTTCCATTCCTGGTACCAAAAAAAAAAAGCGGAGGCTATGAATGTTCTAGGGGAGGGAGCTGTAGAAAAACCTCCAAACCTCCTGAGCTCAAGGACACCCATCATTAAACATAAGTTCCCTTTATGGATGCGCTGCCTCCAGGCAAAACTCTTGCTTGCCAGCTAGAGTGAAATTGAGGGAAAAAAGTTTCAAAGGAAATACACTTTCTAAGCTCTTCTGTACAAAATTTATACTTCACTAAGCTACCAAGTTTATGTATAAGATAGAAAGTGTTTGAATACAGAACAATTTAATATTTTAATTTTCTCCTCAAGGACATGAGAGATACTTTGTCTTTTATTGTTTCAAGTGTTTTAAAACATTCATTTAATGGAACAAGTCCTAAAACAACAGACAGACAGAAAACTAATATTTCATAAAATTCTATTAGTTTGAGGTGACAAAAATCAGAAGTAAACTTACCAGTTTTTTTCTTGAAGACACAATGAATGTAAAAGTAAAAAAAGAACACAAAACCTTGTAAAATAAATTCAGATTTTCTTGCAGAAAATTAAGAGTGGTTTTGATGATTTCCTAAATCTTAGGGGCTGGGGATTTAGCTCAGTGGCACAGTGCCTACCTGGCAAGCGCGAGGTTGTGAGTTCGATTCCCAGTACCGGAAAACAAAAAACAAAAAAACAAAAAAACAAAAAACAAAAAACAAACAAAAAAAATCTTAAACAGCACAAAACGTTACATGCTTAATTATAATGTTAAGCTACATCAATGATTTCTCCTTCCAAAGCCATTCTTGGGCTAGGCCTGTGGCTTGGAAGTTGAGCACTTGCCATCATACATGAATGAGGCTCTCGGTTTGATCCCCAGCCCTGGAAAAAAAAAGTCTTGCTCAAGGTCCATTGTACGATAATTCCTAGAAAATCATTTTCCAGCGCTAGTTTCAAGAAAATTTCATTAACTTTTAGCATTGGTTATTAGAAAAGTTATAGAAGCAAGTTTATTATTTTTCTCCACCTATTTTTAAAACCTTGTTAGTACATGTTTGGAGTACACGACAACTACAGTCACTGTGATAGGAGCAAGTTTAAACAACAGCACAAAGGAGTTGTAACAATTACTGAAATGTTGTTTTTCCTTTGCTGCTGAAAAGGACAAAAGGTGTCCAATTAAAAATGTGGCTCCTTTTTGTTTAGTTTTTTCCTACTCATCTCTATAGGGTCAGATGAAACACACACACACATCCAGCCGCTGGATGAAGCTCTGGCTCTCACTCCCTTGTAGAGTGCACTGTGAACAATGTCATTCTTATCATCTTTGCTCAGAGTGGTGTGGGACACCGAGAACACGGAAGAAAAGAATACTGAGGTGACAGCCAGCTCGGAGCAGAAGGTTCTAGTTTCAGCTTTGCTATCAACTAGCAACTAGTTCTATGACCTTCTTACTCTGGGCCTCAGTGACGGGTAGGAGAGGAAGGTTCTAGTTTCAGCTCTGCTATCAGCCGGCTCTGACTTTCTCACTTTGGGCCTCTTCAAATGAGGATACTGGGTCATATAACCTCTAGGTTTCTTCTAAAGACAACACTACCTTCATTATAGGATATTTTAGGGACAGTGAGAACACATTTCTATTCCTGTCCTGCTTCTGGCCAGAAGTGAATACTCTATTCCACGGTCAGTCCTGTGTTCCAAGCTTGCCCACCCCGAGGATCTTCCTCCATAGTCACCCACATTGTCTAGGAACACCCTGTGTGACCTGTTCTTGTGCGTCACCTGCCCTACCCTGTGGCAGCTCAGGACCAGGCAGCGGGGGCCTCCTCACCAAACAGCTCGATGTAGACCTCCTGAAGTGTGTGCACGCTGCAGAACTGGTTCAGCTCGTGGTGGATCTTGTTGAAGATGAGTGCCTTGTCGTAGTCGGCAGTGTAGTTCTTTACTATATCATACACTGGAAGGGCAAGGAAAGAGATCAGCATAAGAATATGCAAGACTCTGTTCTCAAACTTTCTCTCAGACAGCAGTACTCCCTTCCTGAGGTGCCAAGCCAGATTCAGGGGAAGGTTGGCCATTGGGGCGGAGAAAGTGGAAGACATACCTGCATTTGGGACCAGGAAGTTCACCACCTCAATTCTATCAAAGTAGATCATCACACCACCACTGTTGGAGGGAGAAGGGGCAGACATCAGTAGATTACATAAGCCCCGGAATACGATGCAGTCTCCTAAGATGTGTGACTGGCAGATGAGAAGCATTTGTGGGACATAAGGTAGCTTAGATCTCCAAGAAGATCTGCAGAGTTCACAGCAACAACCCAGTCTCCTGAGAAGTGATGCCTCCTAAAAATACCCCCTGAGAGACAAGTGAGACCTTTAGGGTTCCAGTAAGAAAACAGCAGCTCATTGCATTTTGATTCAGTAAGTCTTTTGCTGAACACACGTCACTGTGGAATTTTATAGTCAATGTTTCTGACTTTGGCACCATCACTTTAGTTCAAATATTCATTATAATAAAATTGATCATGGCACTCCACTCTTCACAAACCTATGATTGTCTCTCTTGCACTTCACTGCCTTGTCAATCAGAACACAGTAAGGTAGGGAATAGGGAATTTGGTAAAGCCACCAAGACACTGTGTCACTGTCTCTTCCTGTAGCCAGCCAGCCAGCCAGCCAGCCAGCCAGCCCTTCCTCTGACTTATTGGGGCTTAACAGCTTTATTCTGGGCACCTTACCTGGTCCCACAAGGTACATTCTTCACTTCGTCTGTCTGAAGTGTGGTCTGGGAACAGAAAAAATATCAAATGCTGTCAGGTGGGCAGTGACAAAGTAACTTATGATTCAGAATCCCAAATGTTCTCATCCCTGTTTACTTATTTGGACAGAGCTTTGCCTATGTTAAACAGGATATCCCACCTGGTCTTCCTTATGATACAGCAGAAAATATAACGCCCAACCTGCTAGATGTCAAATTTGCTGAATCTGTGTCTCTTGACATCAAAGAATGAATTCTAAGAAAGTTAGGAGTAGGAAAGATTTTTACTGAGGTAGCTCCTGAGAGATAGGAGGGGACCTGAAAGTGGGTTGCCACAGAGGTCATTTCTCTAGGAATATTTTATAGAGCAAAAATTACGAGGTGGGTACAAAACCATGAAGTGGGTACAAACATGGGTCAAATTATAATCAACCAATGACATTACAAGTATAGGTGCTTAGCTACTGTTGATCCAATAGGGAAATGGGTCACGTAGCAAGGGTACATGGGGAGAAGAAGGCCATTTTGGGGAAGGGATGGGTCCAGACGCTCTGGTCACCCACCCAGGCAACTGATGCCTATCTGGGCTCACTGGACCGGGTGGTGCATTACAGTATAATCTCAAATTAGGGAAGCATGCAAGTCTGGCCACTGTGATGCACCTCCAGCCAGTGTGGTGTTCTCACCTTCTGCACTGAGCCCTTTGAGGGACTAGCTCCGTCGGAGTGGTTATTAATTTTTATCTAACCTAACTGTCTGTAATACTTACAGGGTGTGATTCTAAAGTAAGCAAAGGTACCTACTCTACTTTCCCTGTAAGTTGACCACATATGAACAAGCAAAGTAATAATGGTTTAGTGAAAAAGACTCTGACTTAGGAATCTTAAAAATCTTAAGACTTTCAGTATATTCCTGCTGGCTTCAACCACCGGGGGCACATGCATGTCTGTCTCATCCAGCGGCTTGTACCACTGGTGATACAAAATGGATTTTATCACTTTGTCTTTTTACCAATAAAATTAGTAAAAAGCCATGTGATGCGATAGTCATGCATGTACCACTGGCAGTTCAAGCTGCCTGGCAGCAAGGCATATGGATTACAGGCCAGCCCCATAGTGAACTTGTTAAGGAATCTGAGGAACCTGAAGACTTTACTCTTGCATTTACTAGTTCTGAAACAGCACATTCCTTATTTAACCAGCTCAGCCCATTCTCAGGATTACTATGTGAGATTTACCAGCATGCACATGTGAGAGCATACGAAGTGGGAAAATGACTATGAGGTATCTTTGTATCTTGCTGGGTTAATTTAAAAGTTATTCTTGAAATCTTTTGTTTCTTCTTAGTTGGACGTATTTCATAGATGTCTACTCTAACTTAGCTGAGCTTTAGATGTTACAACTAATCTTACTCCTATTTTTGATGTCATACCCTTGCCCAATCCAACTTCCTTCCTTCTTCAAAAAAAATTAAGCTCCTATTTCTGAAGTTCAAGTAAGAACCAGCAAAACTGTCAAACTGTATTTCTACCTAACATGGTAGCCTGTGACTTGACTTTCCTTCTGCTAGTGTATCCAAGCTTTTGGCTTTGCCTACGCTGTAGAGAGTAAAGAAGAATTATTTTGGGCCATATATAAAATATATGATGTGGTTAATATAAATAAACAACCTTTCTTTTAAAAAAATATTTATTATAGCATAAAAAAAAAGAGGGAAAGTGGCCTGTGGGCCACAGATTGGATATACCTGTTCTTCTCTGGCTTTGTCTTGAAGTGAAGAAATAGTTACCACTTGCAGCTGATGGGCCAAGGCTCTACTCAGCTATTTCAAGAATCGAGTAAAGCTTCAGGAGTTTCATTAAATCAGTCTCTGAAAAGGCATTTTACTCACCCAATGGCTCAATAATTTCAAATCATGTCCTAATCAACAACCCAAACTTGCAGTCATCCAACCACAGCATACAGGCCAAACACACCTGCACCGATTTATATGACGTGATGAACGGAAGCATGAGATGGAAACCGGGGCCGCTCGTGGAAGTCAGCAGGGCACCACCTCTGCAGAGGAGGGAGGGAGAGGTGAGGTCAGTGCAGAAAGAGGATTTGTCAGATCAAGGCCCTGTGGGCCAACTTTCCCTTCAGCCTTCTAAACATTTAACTTAAGAGTCACAGGTGCTAGAGCCACGTCCACAGATCCCTTTCTTTCTTTCTTTCTCACCTCAACCCTGATATTCTAGGAAGCCTAATGGTAAAACAAAATCTTAGTCATGCTTTTGCAAGGAGAAAACACGCACACAGGCTAAATGAAAGAAAGATAGCGTAATTCCTGGCTACACTCAAGCTAAGAAAATTTGTTTTACTTTGTCACATCAGTTTATTTTGTGGCAGTCCATTGGAGCAGTTACAGGTAGTAATACAGTTATTAATTAGCTGTACTACTATTGGGAGTCCAGTGACATGGGCAACTCAAAAGAAGAATTTTAAATACACATTTTTTTGGTGCTGGGGACTGAACCTAGGGTCTCGCCCATGGTCTATCACTGAGTGACATCCCTAGCTTCAGTAGGAGTTTTAGAACTTGCCATTAGCAATCCAGAGATAAACATCACAAGGCACATTTAACAAGGGGTTCATAAAGACTTCAAGCAAAAATCTTGGTCAAAGTTTACAAAAAGGAAAGCAGCTCAAGATTTAAAAGTTTTTCTCTGGTTTATACTATAAAGCTGAAGATAATTGAGTAATAATTAAAGAGTAATAAAATGAGTAATAATTAAAGAGTAATAAAATGAGTAATAATTAAAGAGTAATAAAATGAAGTGATACAATGTACTCCAATACAATGTACTCTTTCACTGTAAGGAGCACTGTTTCAACCACTGTCTTGATTGATATAAATCAATCTGCAAGGCCATCAGCTTTCCCTGAAATGTTCATTTTAGAAGAGCCTCCCAAATGAGAGTGGGCTGTCTTCTGAAACTGCCATCAAGAACCGGGACTCAGAGCTTTTAAAGGGGTAACCAGGTAGCAGGGAACCAAAACTCCCAGATGACAGCAGGACACAATATTTCAGGAATGTTCTGCAGGAAATGCTAGTTCCTTGAGGCTTGTCCCTCAATCTATAAACGTATCTGTCAGCATCATGACAGACTATGAAGAGAGGTCTTCAATTACACACACACACACACACACACACACACACACACACCCTTCCTTGTCATTGACATAAAAGCTAAAAAGACTGCCCTATTCAGTAAAATAGGAACACAGATATTCAGCAGAATCTGCAGAAAGGGAGTCATTTAATAGGAAGCTGCAAGCTTCTACCTGTCTTGCCTTACCTGTAATATACTCCAATATGTCCCTCTTCTATCTTGTGCACAGCTGAGAAGAGAGACGCACACAAGAAACTGGAAGCCACCGCCAGAACTGCTCCCAACTGAGCCATCAGTGAACTTTTATCCTAGGAAAAAGATACGCGAAAATGTGTGGTCTGACAAGAAGGAGGCAAGCTATGCCAGCGAGAGGCCGTCACCAAGCTGAGCTTTCTCAAAGTGACTCATGCAGCCTGCTGTAGTAGGAACACAAGGACAGATTCACACTCCTTTCTTGCTGTCAGTCAACATTCCCATGCCTTAACCGGACTCACATTCTCCACCACTCTGAAGAGGTGGTGCCTTTGCCCTAGGGGAGAATCAGTGCCAACTGGGTCAGGTCTAGAACACAGCTTTGTCTTCTTGTGAACGCGAAAGTGCCTACCCTGAGCTACTTGTGCTAACAAAGGGAAGAGAGGCAGCTGCACGGGGCTGGCCCAAATTACAGAGGATGCCAAATGACAGGCAGTTGCGGCTATGTAATTCTGGTCAGAACCTCCCACTTCTAATTGCTGCCATTTCGGAAGAAACCACCGTTTCCTCCTTTCAGACGCTAAAGAGACCAGACAGTAGGCAGCAGAGTTCCAGGGTTGGATTCTCTGGGCTTTCACCCATCTTCTCAGCTACTCCTTTGGATCGAGAAGGGACAGGGTTCTACTGAAGCCACAATCCACACTCCCCCCTTCTTTGCGTGCAAGGAAAAAGGAGACACAGGAGTGAGTGCTCCAGGCTGGGACACTGTGAGCTCCAGGGTTTAACTGCGTTCAGGCACCAGGATGCGAGGATCTGGCCCCTAGCTAGAAACTCACTTCCCGGACACTGGAGGCTCTGGAAAAACTCTGGTGACTGACAGCAGAGTCGGGCCGGGCGCGCCCGGACCACGAGCGCCGCTCTAACGCGGCCGGGCGCGGAGGTCTGCGCGGCGCTCGCTCAGCGGACCTCGGCGAACCCCGACTGCCGAGGCGCAGCCGCGTCTCTTGAACTCGGGACCTTCACGGGTCGCCCCCGCCTAGCTCGCGCCCCTCCGTCCGCCTCCGGACCGGCTCGCGCACCCGCCAGCCTCCGCTCGGGCCCGCCTGTGGCTCGCGGGGAGGGGACGCACAGAAGGGCTTCCCTCACTCCAGAAGCGGCCGGCGGACAGAAAAAGGCTGTTGGGGCCGAAGCCCCGAAGCCCCTCGACTCAGCTCGGGTTTGGAGCCGCAGCGAGACCCAGAGCGCGCACGAAGGGGCGGGGGCCGCGTACCAGGCTGTCCCTCCAGGCGCTCCGTACTCGTCCGAACCCGCGTGCAACCGCAGAAACTGCCACACTACTCAGCACGCTACTTCCTTCCGGGCCCGTCGCTCCGATGACGCCATCAGTTTACGCCAGAAGGTCACACCCCCTTACCGCGGCTTCTGCAGTCAGCTCCGCCCCCCGCACGCAGAGTGGTCAATGTCTGCCGACGGCCGCGAGAGGGCGCACGTGACCCTATCCGGTCCTGATTGCTGGGCCGGGGCGCGGACCAGGACGGGTGAGCAGCGAGAGCCAGGGCGCGCGTGGCCGCGGGGGTCACGCTCCAAGGTTTTCACTTTGGAGCTTGCTCCGGCTTTCCCTCCACATTAGGCCACGCCTGGCTTTTTCCTTTTCCAGAGAAGGTGCGAGCGCGTTGCGGTGTTCCGCAGCCCGGCCGAACGGGCCGTAGCGGAAAGGTGCCGCGCTGCCCGTGGCGCCGCAGCCCGCAGCCTGGCTGTGCATTGCCCTTTCTGTTTTCCGGGGAGCTTTGAGCCACAGCAATATAAAGTAATTACGAGGAATCGTGATCCCTGTGTTTACAGAACGGAATCTCAGAGGTGCACTGCGGTGCAGGGCAGCGCCAGGCGATTCCCGGCCGGTCGCGGGGCCGGGGCTTCCTCCAGCGCGCGGCCCGGGTGCTCCGGCGCGGGGGCCGCAGCCAGGCGGTGTGCGGCGGGGGCGAGGGCCCCACTCCGGGAGGACTCGCGGGCTGGGGTGTAGCTCGGTGCCGCAGCGCTTAGTTAACGTGTGCCAGACCCCGGGTCCAGTCCCCAGCCCTGAAAATCAAAAGAAGCACACGCACGTGCATATGCTTTCTGGAAATGAAAAACTTTAATTAAAAAAAGAAAAGATGGGAAGGCGGCAGTGAATCTAGGACTCGGGGAAGGGAAGTTTAGGGTTAGGCATGACTGCCTGGGATTGACGGGCCCATTCCCTCTTGCAGGTTTGCCAGGGCTGGGTTTATGTCCGATGTTCCAGCATGGTTCGGCTAAGCCAGTAAGTGGGCTATGGGGTGCCCACTGCCACCCCTGCTCTCCCCACGCTGTGCCCAGCGTGCCCGCTGACCAGTGGCTTGAAGGATAGATCCTGTCGACCTGAGAGCCTTCCTGCCCCAGGTTCTGGGCGTGCTTAACAAATATTACCTAATAGTTGAGCGATGAACAAGAAAAACATGAAGTATTTAAATTGTGATTGAAGAAGCTCCTCACAGCAGTCCCAGTACTCTGAGAGGCTGAGGCAGTGTAGGATCACAAATTCCAGCTTAGCTGGGCGCTTAGTGATTTGGTGAAACCCTGTCTTGAAGTGAAACCTGGAAAAGGGCTGGGGATGTAGCTCAGTGTGAAGGCCCTGGGTTCAGTCCCCAACACTGAAAGAAAGAGAATGTTTTGACTATTAAACTTTGAAATTCCCTGTCAGGGCCCCTTTACCAGGCCTGAGGTATTTGGTGGGGCCCTGTCTATGGTCAGAGGTAGATTCAGTAGCTGATGACATAACAGTCCTGAAAATCCCTTTCTGAAGAGGCCTGTGATATTTATGACTCAGTATCCAAAGTTGCCAAGCCGGTAAGTCTGTGATGGTTCTTTTCACAAAAGTATTTCTGAATCCATGTTTCAGAAACTTGCAGTATAGGACAGTGGTTAAGCTCAGCTCCCAGCCAGATTGCCTGGGTTTCAGTCATGACCCTTGCTTTTCATTAACTGTGTCATGTTGGGAAAATGATTTATCCTGCCAGTGCCTCAGCTACTTCCTCTGTAAAATGGAGGTATTAGTAGCATGAACCTTACAGAATTGTGGTGAGGGTTAAGTAACAAGGAAAAGCACACACAGTGTTTGACTTATTTTTTTTTACACAGGGTCTCACCATGTAGCCCATGTTGGACTCAAACTTGTGATCCTCTTGCCTCAGCTTCCAGAGTGCTGGGATTACCAACCTGAGCCACTCTGCCTGGCTGAGGGTTATGTTTGACACATTTTAAGTGCTCACCAAGTGTTGCTGTTTTAAATAGCAAATTCCTTTAATGTGTTCTTGGATATTTGTGGGTTTAGATTATTAATGTGATGGGGAAGAGGGCAGGATAAGCTTCAGGTTATGTGGTATTGAGCAGTAATCAAATGAAGGCTTAGCAGAAGAGGTAAGGGACCCAGAAATTATATGCCAGTAGCTATTTATACAGATTTCATAAAGTGTTATCAAGCACTTTCTATGTGTAGGGCCTCATGCCTTGCATGTTCTCAGCTGATAGAATCTTTAGGTAGAACTTTTGAGTTCAACTCCATTTTAGAGGGGACAGTTGAAGCTCAGAGAAGTTATGAAATTGCCTGAGCTCTTGAAGGTAGTGGGTCAGAAAAGCAGAATCCCAAAGATCCCATGTCTATTTCTAGAGTCAATGAACTGGAAAATGATTCAACTTAAAATCAACTCCATTTTAGAGGGGACAGTTGAAGCTCAGAGAAGTTATGAGATTGCCTGAGCTCTTGAAGGTAGTGGGTCAGAAAAGCAGAATCCCAAAGATCTCATGTCTATTTCTAGAGTCAATGAACTGGAAAATGATTCAACTTAAAATCTCCCTCTCCCAGACACAGACACACACACCAGATTTATTTGTAGGCTCTCAGGATATAGATTGGTGATCAGAATTTGTAAAAGTTTACATTGGAAGCTTGGGGGTTGTAGGTTGAAGTGGTGGGTTTGTCAGCTCTATGTGACTGTAACAAAATACCTGAGGTAATGAACTTAAAGGAGCAAAGGTTTACTTTGCCTGATGGTTTCAGAATTGCAGTCCATGGATGCTTGGCCCTGTGGTTTTGGGCCTGTGGCACCGCAGTTAATCCTAGAGGGAGAGTGTAGTGCAGGAAACCTGCTCACTTCATAGTGGCCAGGAAGCAAAGAGAGACAGGAAAGGCTGGGGTCTCAATATACCCTTCAAGGGCCCCAAATGACCTAACTTCCTCTTGCAAGACGCGCCCCTTAAAGCTACTCCCATCTCCCACTAGCACCATGAGCTGGAGACCACACCATCACCACATGGGCCTCTCGGCGACTGCCGAGATCCAAAGTACCACACATAGGATAAGGAGTATTCTCACCAGCAATTTACCTCCCCCTAGTGCTGGATTATTGTTTATTTTATCAAGCTAATTACTAGTGAGTGTTCCATTCCCAAGAGAGAATAGACCCCTTCTTTCACAATCAGGGCCCTTTTTAAAAATTAGTAATCAGGTTAACTCCAAAGGAACATGGCAACTTTTAGAATTTTTGGCTTTGATTCTTTTATATCACAAGAGTCAAAGTTGCTGAAAAATTTTTTGACTTAGATTTTTCTTTTTTTTCTTTGGGCTCTAAAACAGAGATGAGATACTATCTTTTGGGATGTTTGATCCTAGAATCAAGGTGTGGGTGAGTGTGGGCAAGTGTGTACCAGATGCTCGGGGCTGGGAGTGTCTCCCCATGGTGGTGTGCAAGGCCCTGGTTCCAACCCCAGCACCACAGAACAACATCCTTATCCTTAATTATTTAGAGGCTTATTTGGAACTTTGTTTGTATCGGTTGGAAAACCCATGGACAAATGATATTTTTCTCTAGGCAGTTGGGTAAAGGGATCAAAGAAGCATGAAGAAAAAAATGGGGTAGACGTCATCTAAAGATCATTTTGTGATTATATGTTTTTATAGTTTCACTGAGACACATTTGGCATGTAAGAAGCTGTCCATAACATATGTTGTTGAAGTTTGGGCCTATGAAAGGCCTTCCCGCCACAACATCCACAGAGAGGGAAAGGGAGAGGGTATTACCCCTATGAAATTATCACCACAAGCAGGGTAAAGAACACACACCCATCATACCTGCTCCTCATACTTCTTTGTAATCACTCCCTCCTACCCCTCTTTGGGATATCCTGCCCCACTTCCCCCCAAACCACTGGTCTGCTCTTGTCATTCTAAATTAGCTTGCATTTTATAGACTTTTATATGAATGGAAGCAGTATTGTGGGAGTTTTGGCTTTCTTTTAACAACAACAGCAGCACACTTTTAAGATTACTAAAGATCAGGGCTGAGGATGTAGCTCAGTGGCGTAAGTGCTTGCCTGGCAAGCCTGAGGTCAGGAGTTTGAGTCCCAGTACCAAAAAAAAAAAACAAAAAAAAAAAACCAAAAGGAAAAAAAAGATTACTAGAGATCAAACTCACATGTGTGCTATCACCAAGTTACCTCCCCAGCCATTTAAAAATATTTTCTAGTTTAAAATTGGGTCATGCTTAATTGCTCAGGGTAGCCTTAAACTTGCAGTCCTCCTGCGTTAGCCTCCTGAGTAGCTGGGAATAAAGGGGTACACCACAATGCCTGGCCAGAATAATTATTTTAAGATCTATCCATACTGCTCAGTCTGAGAGTAGCTCATTTCTCTTCATTGCTATGTAGTACTCCCCTGCACAGTTATACAACTTGTTTATAAGGAGGAATAGGTTATTGCCTACGATATTAATGCAGCCCACATGTTGTAGTCACAGAGAGGCAAAGGGTCAAAAAGAGGAAGTATCCAGCAAGGGGATTTAGCCAAAGTCGAGAGTGCCTTTTGGAAGTATGAGGAAGAGCAGCCTGCTGGCCTGAGATTCTGTGCCAACAGGCCTGGAAGTTTGCAGTTTGTTTTGAGCTGGCTCGCCTGAGGTGGCCTTTCTTTTGACATCTCTAATCTTCCAACTCTGAATTTATCATAACATTAGGAATTTCTGAAGAAAAAATGTATGGGATTCTATCTCATATGTTGCTCTATGCATCTTTCTGTATCATTGATGAACTTTTATTACCAGAGACGAAGAGATGTATTAGACACTTAATGTCTTAGTCTGTTTCATGTGGATATAAGAGAATACCAGAGCCTGGGAGGTTTTTTGAAGAATACAGGTTTATCTGTCTTGCAGTTCTGGAAGCTGGAGCCCTAGGAGCACAGTGCTGGTACCTGGTGAGGGTCTCCATGGTGCCTGGTGACATGGCGAAGGGGTCGAGTGCCAACTCAGGGTCTTTTTGTCTTACAGAGCCACAGATGCCATCATAGGAGCCCCATGTCACGACCTCACCTACTCCCTGTTCCTTCCCAGAGGCCCTGCCTCTACATACCATTACCACGGGATTCTGGGGCTTAAGTTCCGGATGCGTGGACACTGGGGACATAGTCTAGCTTTGGCCTTGGGACGCAACCGCAGAGGGTGAGGTCGCTGAGGTCGTCCTGGGCCAGTCTTTCCCCACTTGCATTCTTAGTCGCATCCCTGCCCTCTCCTCCTTCATTTGCTCCTTTTTCTCAGACCTGCAGCTTTAGCCCACTATCTTGTACAAGTGCCTCTCCCACCTCTCCCTTTCCCTCTCTGTGGATGTTGTGGCGGGAAGGCTCTAGTCCTCACCTGGTTTGTCTCCTTCCTCTTAAGCAAAATTTTTTGAGGAAAAAGGAGCCGAGAGTTGCTGTCTTTACTTCCTCCATGCCAGTGCCTGTTTGCAGCCGTCTGCCCTTTCTCTTGAGTGCGTGATGCTGCTGAGTGGCCCCTAATGGCCCAACCACCCACTCTTCCCCATGCTGCAGCTCTCCCGGCTTCCTCTTCCTTGTCCAGATACTTCTTTCAGTTCCTATGCACTCAGCCCTGACTGTTCCTCGAACTCTCTCCTTCCTCTGCTGCTTTTCCCTCTCCTCCTCCCTCTCTCCCTTCCTTTCTGTTCCTGTGGTGCTTGTGATCAAACACAGGGCCTTGTGCATGCAAGGCAAGAGCTCTACCACTGGGCCACATCCCCAGCCCCCTTGGCCTTCCTTTTTCTACCTTTTCTTTTTGGGTGGTCTTTTGTGTTCTCAACACTAGTGGGATTAATTGCTCAGGGTAGCCTATTTTGTGGCGCTAGGGATGGAACCCAGGGCCTTGTGCATGCCAGGCAAGCCCTGTACACCCAGGCCCTCAATATTCTAACTATGTGGTTGCAAGTAACCCCCCCCCAATTTTGTATTTCTACCCTATA